AATACAGATTTTAAATAAGGTTTAATATATAAATTTTTTTGTTTTATAGTGTGTCCTTTTTGGTTCCTATTTAAGAAATTTTTTCCAAACTCAAAGTCATTAAGATTTTTTTCTTCTAGAAATTTTATTTATTTTTAAAAAATTGGAATATAATTGCTTTACGATGTTGTATTAGTTTCTGCTGTACAACAAAGTGAATCAGCTCTAGGTATACACATATCCCCGATATACATATGGACCAGAGCACGCCAGGCCTCCCTGCCCATCAGCAACTCCTGGAGTTTACCCAAACTCATGTCCATTGAGTCGGTGATGCCATTCAACCATCTCATCCTCTGTCGTCCCCTTCTCCTCCCGCCTTCAATCTTTCCCAGCATCAGGGTCTTTTCCANATTCCAACTTGTGCTTCATCCAGCCTGGCGTTTCACATGATGTACTGTGCATATAAGTTAAATAAGCAGGGTGACAGTATACAGCCTTGATGTACTCCTTTTCCTATTTGGAACCAGTCTGTTGTTCCATGTCCAGTTCTAACTTTTATTGTTGCTGATTCATGTCAATATATGGCAAAAACCACTACAATATAGTAAAGTAATTAGCCTCCAATTAAAATAAATAAATTTTTAAAAAACTTGCTTCCTGACCTGCATACAGATTTCTCAAGAGGCAGGTCAGGTGGTCTCGTACTCCCATCTTTTGAGTAATTTTCCACAGCTTGTTGTGATCCACACAGTCAAAGGCTTTGGCGTAGTCAATAAAGCAGCAGTAAGTAGATGTTTTTCTGGAACTGTCTTGCTTTTTTGATGATCCAGTGGATGTTAATATATGATACTTATTTTTCTCTTTCTAACTTCACTCTGTATGACAGAGACTCTAGGTTTATCCACATCAATACAAATGACCCAATTTTGTTCTTTTTTATGGCTGAATGATACTCCATTGTATATATGTACCACATCTTCTTTATCCATTCACCTGTCGATGGACATCTAGGTTGCTTCCATGTCCTAGCTATTGTAAATAGTGCTGCAGTGAACTTTGGGGTACATGTATCTTTTTGGTTTTCTCAGGTCTTCTAGAAATGTTATAGTTTTAGCTTTGCATTTAGGTTTATGATCCATTTTGAGTTAATTTTTGTAAATGGTGTGAGATGTGTGTTAAGTACAGCCCTCTTTACTGTTCCCTCTACTTTAAGATGCTGAATAGCTTACAGAAATTTGAAATGTAAGATCCAGGTAGTTAAAATAATCAGATTTTACCCACAGTAGTGTACCGTGGTAATTATTTGTATCTATGATCTTCAAGAAAATATTCAGCATCATTTTGGTGTTACATGTAGTTTGTCATATTTATTAATAAATTATTTGAAATATGGCAATTAATGAGTTGTATACAGATTTGCATTTTGCCAGAATATCACATTTATCTGATCACCTTGCTGTGGTCATTTAGGATAAACAGGAATTTACCTTAAGTACTTTTCAAAAAGCATAATAATCTGTAGGCAGGAAATCTATCCTGCCATTGTATTCAGTTTCTATGATATTTAATGTATTACCACAGATCTAGTGGCTTAAAACAATGCATATTCATTATGTCATAATTGCCATGGGTGAGGAGTCTGAGCCTGGCTTAGCTGAGTCCTCTATTCAGAGATTCACAAGGCTGCATTCAAAGTGTCACTCGGCTCATTTCTCATCTGAAAGCTTGACTCATGATAGACCTGTATTCGAGCTCACTCAGGTTGTTGGCAGAATTTATTTCCTTGTAACTCTAAGACCAAGGGTCTAGCTTCTTGCTGGTTGTCAGCCAGAGACCACCCTCAGCTCCTAGAAGACACCTGCAATTCCTTGCCACATGGCCCTTCTAAGGTATGGCAGCTTGCTTCTTCAAAGCCACCAAGGGAGGAAGATTGAGTCTGCTAGCAAAATGGAGACTTACACACTGTAAAATAATTATGGGAGAGACATCTATCAGCTATGTCATATTTTCCTGGTTAGAAGCAAGGCATAGGTCCTACTCCTATTTCAAAGGGAGGGGATTGCACAGAGGCAAGAAGGGAGTCATTGGGAGCTACTTTAAGGTCTTTCCACTATGTCTGTGGAGAGACTTTTTGATCATTGCCAGACCTGTAGCTTCACAGGTCGGTGGTTCTCAGCATAGACTCCTTGGAGAGTCCCTAGATGCCTAAAAGGATGTCCAGAAAAACCTCCAACCAAAGATTAAAACAAATATATATGCAAATTAAGTTAAGTCACAGTCTATTACAAATATTATGGAGAATTTCAAACATTCATGAAAGTAGAACAATATAATGAACCTTCATGTATCTATCACCCATACTTAACAACCACCATCCTGTGGCCAGTCTTGCCTCATAAATTCTCCCCTCTTGAATTGTTTGCAGCAAAATCCCAGGCTTCATATCATTTCATCCACAAATATTTCTGTATAATGTCTTAAAATTAAGAGCTCTGGTTTTTTAAGATATAACCACTATACCATTAGCTCACCTAAAAAATTAACAGTAATTCTTTAATATAATCAAATATCTAGTGTTCCAATTTCCAATTGTCTTTTCTTTTTTATTGGAGTCTAGTTACTTTACAATATTGTGTTAGTTTCTGCTGTATAGTGAAGTGAATCAGCTCTATGTATACATATATCCCTCCAGTTGTCTTATATCATCATTTATTTATAGTTTGCTTGAACCCAAATCCAAATTATGTCTGTACATTACAATATGTTAAGATATTTTTAATATATATTCTAATCTCTAAGATCCCCTCTTCATCTATCTCTCTCTTCTTTTTTTCTTAAAGTTTATTTGTTGAAGAGATCTGGGTTTTGGGGGTTTTTTTGGTCCTGCAGAATTTCTTAGTCTGGCAATTGCTGACACACTACAATTAAAAAAAGTGAGCTTATTGCAAAATCAACTCCATAAATACTCTTCAAAGATCTACTAAATAGCCTAATTATATCATCATTCTTCATTTCACTTTTCTTTCCTCCCTGCTTCCTGAATTTATTTATCTTGATCACCTCTGAATCAATAACAAAAAGTTCTGCAAAACTGCCATCTGCTTTCCCTTGGGGTTTATATCTTAAAACAAATTTTCCTCAATTGAAATCAAATTGAATAAGAGCTTTGAAACCAAGGATCCCTCATTAGACAGTTTGTTATTTCAAAGTATTTTCTATTTACTGTGCCTTATTTAGAATACAGTATAATCCTGTGAAGGCAATTCTGTTTGCTCAAAATGGTGTATAATTGGGAATAATTGCAATTCCTTATCTGAAATAAAGTCTCTCAAGTTTTTTTATTAGAAAAATTTAATTTATTAGAAGCATTGTACCATCTGAATGTATTAATGTAATGTTCCTTTCAACTTATGTTCTGAATTAATGAGGTTGTAGTATGTAAAAAAATAATCACAATTTTAAATATAAGACTTGAGGATCATTCAACAGAAGTTTGCATTGATTTCTTTTTGAAAAATTTATAACATCAATATAATGTGCCTTTAAAAAGTTAGTAGGAATCTTAGGCTCATAAAGCCAACCAACCAATAAGAGTTGCCCCATCTCTGATTCTTGTTCCCTGTAGATACCCAGCACTTGACAACCAACTTCCCAAATTGCAGTTGACATCTCTAATCCACTGTCATTGCCTTTGTTGTTTCCTCTGTCCTTGGGGGATTATCCCTTTTTAATTCTTTCTCTGTAATTCTTGTGGTGTTTGAGAGGGAGTGGAGATGAGAGTGTGTGTGTGTTCAGTTGGCCACATTTAGCTTGTGAAAGTGAAGTGAAAGTTGCTCAGTTGTGTCCAACTCTTTGCAACACAGTCCATGGAATTCTCCAGGCCAGAATACTGGAGTGGGTAGCCTTTCCCTTCTCCCAGGGGTCTTCTCAACCCAGGGATCGAACCCAGGTCCCCCACATTGCAAGCAGATTCTTTACCAGCTGAGCCACAAGGGAAGCCCTTAGTTGGCTATATTTTCACTTTCTAGTTTTTTTGAGAGTCCAGAATGGTGTAAACGTTGGTGCCCAGCCCCTCTACCTCCCGGTACCTCCCTCTTATTGGAAGTGCTGGGTCTTTGGGCTGACTCAGCAAAAGTGTCATTCTGCACTTCTGAGCAGTCTCCTGACTCCCAGGAAGCTGTGGTGAAGTGTGTCCCTCTTCCTGAAGACATGGCACTTCCCACAGCACTATATTTCACACTGAGAGTCTCTGTCTGTCTTGACTGTTCTCCCTAGGGATGACTGTAGTATGGGTCACATTCCTCCATCCCTGAGCACCACACATGTAACTTTTGCTCCCTGACTCTCCTCTCTTTGGGGCATGTGCCCCCCCACTGCCCCATATCTTAGGATATCAAAGAGTATAGGGGGTGACCTTTGTGCAGTGGTAAATGTGTAACAACTGGCCCTCCAGAGGGAATTAAGCTCTGACTTGAACACTTGCCAACCTCTATGGTATAATACGCCTACCAGGGCTGAATTTCACTCTGTGATGGTGCCTAGGAGGAGGTGCACAGCAGCGTCTTTGCCTATGGGAATAGGACTTAGGGGTCTTTGTTTGGGACTGCCAGACTCCAGGGTGAACTCGTTTGGCCTTTCATTGAGCTCCCCAGTCACTCCTACCTTAATATTCCTGCTGGCCTGACTCTGCCAACCCTTTGGTTATGCTTGGTCTGTCTAAATCTGCCAACTCAGCCACCTGAGACTCTACTCTGAGTCGAGACAATTCCCCAATGCTCTGCAGTTAAAAATGTGTGTTCTGGGTCAATCTTAATTTTGTTATGTTTTTACCCTCCTTTGGTGTCCTGAAAAGAACTTCTTGGTAAAATTAATTTCATGCACTAATATGCAACTGATGGTATATAGACATCATGTTTTCTCCAGGTAAACCTTCTTATAGTGCTGTACTGATGGAAGGATCAGGTGACTGGGATTCCTTATTCTGCAGTTCTGCTGATGATGTTTTCTTTCTTCCACAGTTGACAGGCCCGTGAGAGTATATGCCGATGGAATATTTGACCTCTTCCACTCAGGTCATGCAAGGGCACTTATGCAAGCGAAAACACTGTTTCCCAACAGCTACTTGTTGGTAGGAGGTAAGAAGTGCATTTTCTTTTTGTCTAGAAAACTCTTATATAATGTGCTTCCTGAAAAGAACCCCTTTCAGGCTTCTATCATTAAAACCTCCCATAGTTAATGCTCCCAATTCAGCCTATATTGGGTTCCTTATTTACTACCTGAAATTTAACATGAGATTTAAAAAAAAACCATAGGGGAAATTATATCATGAGATTATAAACAGTTGATTCCTAGAGAAAGAGAGACTAATAATACCACCAAGTGTAACTGCTTCATGTTTTCCATTAATACCTTTCTTCTTATGTTTGAGAAATGTTCCAGTTCCTATTTCTGAAATTTCCTAGAGGGTTAGGAGAAAAGAAATATTATTCTGATTTCAAATATTGGAGACTGGAGGAAACTCAGGATGATTAATGTTGAGCAAGGTCATTGTCTGTTTCTTTGGTGTGACCCATAGCACTTAGGACAGTGTTGTGTTAACGGTAGTGGCTTACAACAGTCCTGATTAATTGAATTTATGCACCATGTGTTAAAGAAATGGAGTTTTATATATGCAAGTAATCTTGGTTTACACTGAAGGAAGTGACTGAGTTCATAAGCTGTGGAGAGAGAAGGGTAATTAGACGTAGGTTGAAATTTTCTTCTTCCAAAAGGCCTACCGATTTCTGTTTGTATAAAAGGAAAAGTGGCTGATCTGGGAGACCTGGGTCTCTTCTCTGTAGCTTCCAGAAGCAGCATTTCCTTTTACCATAATCATTTTTTGTGGCATTACATGAACCAGACACCACCAACCCTTACACCTCTCCTGTGAGGGAGCAAGGTGACAGTAAGAGATGACATATATGCTTTTTTACAGTATTTTGTTGTCTTCCACAAGTTTAAAACTACTTTTTGAATATTTAGGAGAAATTGTTTGCAGATTTTGCTGAACATAGTGACCATATGGTTCCTGAATAGAATTCTTTCCAGTAGGAAGAGATGATAAGAGGCAGTGGTTACTGGACAGATCATTCAGAGGGAACCCAAGGTGGGCAGAGGACTCATCTCTGTTCATTTCCTTTATTTTGAGTGGAAAACCATTCCTTATTTGAGCACTGCCACCTGGAGTCTGGTCCTAAGCTGCTGTGTGCTGGGGAGACCTTTGCAGTGATTTGGCTTTGGTCATTTTGAAAAGTGAAAGTCACTCAGTCATGTCCGTCTCTTTGCGACCCCATGGACTATACAGTACATGGAATTCTCCAGGCCAGAATACTGAAGTGGGTAGCCTTTCCCTCCTCCAGGAGATCTTCCCAACCCAGGGATCGAACCCAGGTCTCCCACATTGCAGGTGGATTCTTTACCAGCTGAGCCACCAGAGAAGCCCAAGAATACTGGAGTGGGTAGCCTATCCCTTCTCCAGCAGATCTTCCCAACCCAGGAATGGAACCGGGGTCTCCTGCATTGCAGGCAGATTCTTTACCAACTGAGCTATGAGGGAAGCCCTTGGTCATTTTGGCAACCCAAATTTGGAAGTGGTTAGGTGTGGGTAACACTTCACAAGAACACTGCCCTGGCCCTGGATTAGCACATCAAAAATAAGTTCAAAGGAAATAGGAGACTTTCAGTGCATTCTTGTAAGCTGGAGAAAGCAGTAAATTAACAGCAGCAGCTCTCTAGGTTACTCAGCAGCAGTGGTTTCACTGATTTGCTGAATGATTCCTTCACTTAACTATTTCTTGAGCTCCTACTGTGAGCCAGGCATTCTTCTGTACACTGAGAATGTAGCCACCATCAGAGCAGACTGTGTCCTCAGAGAACTTAGAGTCTGAAAGGGAGGCAGACACTGACCAGCAACAATCTGGAGGAGAAGTACTATGAAGAAATGCTACATAGGGTTAAGGGGAAAAGTGACTGGTCGGGCAAGCAAGGATGTTTCAGGTGTGGAGGTCAGATGAGGACCCTCTGAAACACTGACAATTGTGCAGAGACTTAAATGAAGGTAAGGGCACACAGAAGCCAGAGCACAGAACCTTCCTTATGCAGTGATCTTCCCACCAGCCCAGATAAGAATTTTGGGACAAGTGGGGAAAATGTGGTGGCTACAACTAGGTGTGTTATTTTATTGACTTGTTGTCTCTTAGGGAGGTTTTTCATAAAAGCACAGGTGATGTAGAACTGAGAGAAGTGAATATGGACAGGAATTCAGAGCCAAGAATTAAAGCAGAAGGGAAGGAGAGCAACCGCAGAAGGAGCCACACAGTCATTGCATAGCTCTCAAAAGCTAGAGCTGATACTGCTCCCTGATGAAGAACCAGCTCTGGCTGCTCTGAGTTCTGTTTCAGAGGGTTGTTGCCTAAGCAGCATCAAGTAATGCAGTGACCACTGTCCTCTTTAGCAGATGTATTGGGTTGGCTAAAAAGTTCGTTTGGGTTTTAAGAAAGGTACATACCTCCTCAATGGCTATTACATGGATTCTCTGTGGAAGCCAAGGGAATGTTAAACTACTAAGACAACCGTGGAGACCATATCTTTTGGTAGATGATAGGGACTAGAACATGGATGGGAAATGAAACAATAAAACATGAAGCTGTAAAAATGTGTGTAGACTTCTGGTGACAGTGACAGAGTAAGAGTGAAAACCTCCAAGCAATGTAAACAATAATAAATAATTTCAATATGTTATTTTCTCCAATGATTTATTATTATCCTGTTTAAAATAACAGGAAATATCATGAAGTATTTTGCAGCCAATCTCCTACTAAAATTCACTGTAAGCTTGTATTTCATGTGTCTCCACTAATTTAATTGTATTTGATGCCTAGTCTGTTAAATAGAATCTCCAACCTCCTGTGTGTAGGCAGGGTTCTTCAGGGGTGGTATTGGAGCTCAAATGCCGAGTGGCATGGCTGTGGCAAATGCATTTTGGGGAATTGTGCATAAGAAAAAGAATAGTCTTCCTTCTATGTATATAGTAGTTGCCTTCCTCTAAAATTCAGCATTTTTAAATTTTTTTTATTTTTTATTTTTCATTTATTTTTATTAGTTGGAGGCTAATTACTTTACAATATTGTAGTGTTTTTTTTTTTAAACAAATTTTATTTATTTATTTATTTTTGGCTGCATTGGGTCTTAGTTGCATCTAGCAGGCTTCTCTCTAGTTGAGGCACACAGGCTCAGTAGTTGCGATTATGGGCTTAGTTGCCCCGCGGCACATGGAATGTTAGTTTCCCGGCCAGGGATCAAATTTATGCCCCTTGTGCTGACAGGTGGATTCTTAACCAGTGGACCGCCAGGAAAGTCCCTAAAATTCAGCATTTATCACAGCTGTTTAGAAATACTTTGCAATTATTGTAAAACAAAATTAGGGGCTATATTCAAACAATTAAAAATAAGTGTAAAGAGACATTCAGAAATCTTACAGGATACTGGAAAATTCTCATGTGGGGCTGCTCCACACTTAGGAAGATGTTTAGCATTGTTGGCACCGTGCCCACTAAATGCCAGTCGCTGCCTCCAATTATAGTGACAACTAAAGATGCGTCTTCGGGGATGACGAAGCCTTTGTTGAAAACCATTGTCTTAGACTGAGAGTCTTCACTCTTCACTCCCCACAATGCCAAAAAGAATTTTGAAAAACTATATACCTTCTTTTGGTTTTTCCAGTAGTCATGTATGGATGTGAGAGTTGGACCATAAAGAAAGCTGAGCACCGAAGAATTGATGCTTTTGAACTGTGGTATTGGAGAAGACTCTTGAGAGTCCCTTGGACTGCAAGGAGATCCAACCAGTCCATCCTAAAGGAAGTCAGTCCTGAATATTCATTGGAAGGATTGATGCTGAAGCTCCAATACTTTGGCCACCTGATGCAAAGAACTGACTCATTGGAAAATACCCTAATGCTGGGCAAGATTGAAGGCAGGAGGAGAAGGGGACGACAGAGGATGAGATGGTTGGATGGCATCACAGACTCCATGGATTGAGTTTGAGCAAACTCTGGGAGTTGGTGATGGACAGGGAAGCCTGGCATGCTGCAGTCCATGGGGTCTCAAAGAGTCAGACACGACTGAGCAACTGAATTGAACTGATACGCATTCTTAAAAATTTTTAAGTTGACATCTAAAATTTTCAGTCCTAAGTTTAAATAGTTATAAAATGTGTAATTTCAGGAATATTGTAAATATTAACATTTTCAAAAATTAACAAACTTAGGAAAATTTTTTGTTCAGAGCAAAATTGGCAGAAAGTAAAAAGATTTGCACTCATACACAGTCTCCTCATTATCAACATCCTGCAGCAGTGTAGTACATTTTTTATAGTCCGTGAAGCTACATTGACACATTATTATCACCTAAAGTTCACAGTTTAATAAATTAGAGTTAACTCTTGGCATTTTACATTCTCTTGTTGTTGTTCAGTTGCTAAGTGGTGTCCAACTCTTTTCAACCCCATGGACTGCAGCATGCCAGCCTTCTTTGTCTTCCACTGTTTCCTGGAGTGTGCTCAAATTCATGTCCTTTGAGTTGATGATGTTATCTAACCATCTCATCCTCTGCCACCCCCTTCTCCTGCTTTCAATCTTGCCCAGCATCAGGGCCTTTTCCAATGAGTCAGCTGTTCGCATTGGATGGCCAAAGTATTGGAGCTTCAGCTTCAGCATCAGTCCTTCAAATGAATATTGAGTACTGATTTCCTTTAGAATTAACTGGTTGGATCTCCTTGCAGTCCAAGGGACTCTCAAGAGGGTCTTGGGACTCTCAAGGGACTCTTCAGCACCACAATTAAAAAGCATCAATTCTTCAGCGCTCAACTTTCTTTACGGTCCAACTCTCATATCCGTATATGACACCTGGAAACACCATAGCTTTGACCGTATGAACTTTTGTCAACAAAGTGATGTCTCTACTTTTTAATATGCTGTCTAGATTTGTCATAGCTTTCCTTCAAAGGAGCAAGTGTCTTTTAATTTCATGGCTGCAGTCACCATCCATGGTGATTTTGGAGCCCAAGAAAATAAAATGGCACTGCTTCCACTTTTTTT